AAAATACTCTAAGCAATATATCTCATCACCCATCACCACCGTCATATTATCACCATCACCATCACCATTATCACCCCATCATCATCACCACCATCACCACCAACACCATCACCCCATCATCATCATCACCATCACCACCAACACCATCACCCCATCATCATCATCACCATCACCACCATCACCATCAACACTATCAGCACATCATCACCACCCCATCATCAGCATCATCACCATCACCACCAACACCATCACCCCATCATCATCACCACCATCACCACCAACACCATCACCCCATCATCACCACCATCACCACCATCACCATCAACACTATCAGCACATCATCACCACCCCATCATCAGCATCATCACCATCACCACCATCACATTATCACCGTCACCATGAACACTATCATCCCATCATCATCATCGTCACCATCATCGCCACTACCATCACCATCAATCATCACATCATCATCACCACATCCCCACTGCCACTACCATCATCATCATCGTACCATCCTGGGGCGACTCTGCAGACTTGGTCACAGCTATCATCTTTGTAGTGGGAGTCTGATCATGACAAACCTGGTGCAAGAAATTTATTGATTTTCCTATCAAAAGGACCTAAAAAGAAAAAAATCCTATGAATACCTTTATATAAAATTAAAAATGGTCACCCAAATACTACAAATATTCACAAGCTATAAATTGGCTATTGATTAAAAATTAAATAATAAGAGCACCTGGTATAGTATCCAGTGAATTACAGGCACCCAAAAGATATATTAACAAATGCATTTTAATATGTCATATATTCAATTAATATATACTTTACCTCAAGAACAGTAACAATCCTAAAATGCAACAAAATTATGTTTAACTGAAAATTGGTTTTGTCACATAATCCAAGTATACATAGTAATATAACATCAAAATCACAAAAATCTCTTTCAACCCTACCTTCCTAGACTGGTCCATTGTGATGAATGAAGGAATCATTGATTTCCTCAAAGTATACTTGTCATGCCACAATCGATCTGTTTTAACTGTTGGATCTGATGCCACAAAAAACTGAAAGCAAATGGGGCATTGAAAAATTACAAAGTGGTATTTATGGCAAAATATTAGCTAACAGCAACATCAAAGAATAAGTTATTCTAGAAAGCCAAGTTCTACAGATACTGAGTCTTACCCACTTTTACAATAAACAAAGCATTCTGGATAGAAATCTCTCTAAATTGAATGATGTTATTTTCCAAACTCTCAAAACTGAAGTATAATGAAAACAAGTTACACTTTTTCTTGGAGACTTGGGATGTTCATTATGAATATCGATTACAGCCTCTGCTGTGTAGCAAGCCTCAGGGCTGCCTAACACTTGCAGTTCTCTTCCTGCCTTAGTGCTCTTTAGTTTCTATTTTGAGGAGCCTAAAGCCTGGAACACAGACATGCTGAAGGTGATTTATGCCGTTCACAAAAAGCACCTTAGTTCATTCAGACCAGCATCTACAGGCAGACCCTGGAGTCCAGGCGACCACGCTTATGAACGGCCAGCACCAGCCGGCCAAGTGTCACTGCAGGAAATGATCCTCTCTCTGTGGCTGTCCCCAGGAACCACCCACACTCAAGAGCCTTCCCTCATCCACAGTGCAGCTCCCCCTCCCCAACTCCAAAATGCACCTATGGCCTAGATCACTGACATGACAAAGGACACCAAGTGGTAAGGAGAAAATTCAATTGCTGTTGTTTCCAGTTTACTTGCCATTACAAAAATGAGGCCATTCTCATGTTTTAGTCACATGTGCTCATGGGCTTGTGCTTTTATTTCTATAAGCCTGTTTCCCAAAAACAGGATTGCTGAGTTGAAGTAATGTTTAAATGCTATCTACACCGCCAGATTTCCTTTCCAAGCAGCTGTGGCGACGACATCGCACCAGCAAGACACCTGCAGACACAATGGGCTTGTGCTTTTATTTCTATAAGCCTGTTTCCCAAAAACAGGATTGCTGAGTTGAAGTAATGTTTAAATGCTATCTACACCACCAGATTTCCTTTCCAAGCAGCTGTGGCGACGACATCGCACCAGCAAGACACCTGCAGACACTGCCACCAGGGAGGCCAGCTCACGGTGGTCTCATATCTGTCACTTCACCAACTACACATGAAGGGAGCACATTTCCAGAGTTTTAACTGTCATCTGCTTGTCTTCTGCACACTGCCTTTTCATGTTCTTGACCTGTTCTCCTATTGTCTTTTTTTCTTATCGATATATAGATATTCTTTGTACACTGGGGATACTGACCATTTGTACCTCATAAAATATTACAAAAAATTTTTCCAAGTTAGTCATCTGCCATAGTATGTTCCATGTTTTTGTTTAGTTCTATTTTTTTGTTATATAAAGATAAATGCTTGTCTTCCATTATGGCGTCTGGCTTTCCTGTCTTCCTAAGATCTTCCCGATCCTGGATTATGGAAACATTGTCCATAATGTTCTTTCAGTAGTTCTGCTGTATTATTTTTATTGCTCATCCCTCTGGAATTTATCCTGCATGCAGTATGTTGGGGGTGTCTATGTTTTCTTCTGGATGACGCTCTCTCTTTCCCGGCCAGGTCAGCCCCATTTATTAAATACACCATCCTTTCCTCTGAGCTAAGGATGCCTCATTAGGAACTAGCATCATAATTAATTATATGAACAGATTAAAAGAGGAAAATCATTTGACAATTTCAAGAGATGCTACAGAGACATGTCATAATGCCTTTATGTACCATCCTCCACTGGTGACCAGTTAAGTTTTGTTCTTTTATTGTCATTATGAATGTGCATTTATGTGTATCTGGTGTTTCAACCCGTCACAATTATTAACCTCATTGGTGCTCCATTTCTCCCATTTTGGGAAGACAGAAGCCTCTTCAAGCTGCTCCTGAGTCCTTCAGATTGAATCCAAATGGTCTTCCTGCTTTCTGGGAGGCAAGATGCTCCAGGCTGATCTTTATTTCTCCCAAGACCTAGAATCAACCGCTTCTCCTTCCTTTTAGGGAGAAATGGCAGTGGGACCATGACCTCAACACTCAGTAGTCCAGCTTAGAGGCTGGACGGTTTGAGTCTCAGCACTGGCTATGTTATGCATGGCAGCTTCGTTCCCCAGACAAATCAAAACAGCCATTTAAATCAGAACACACCAAAGACCACTGTTGGTGGTCTTTCCACGAGTCTCAAATCATCAATAGGTGAGTGCCACACGACCCTGACTAGGAAGATAAGTCCACAGATATAAAATGGATTTACAGAATTTTAAAAATATTTTTAGCAACTGCACAGCAATACAAAATTAACATTTTCCTAACAAAACATAAATGACCAAAACTAATCCAAGAAGAGAAAGACAGGAGACCCTAAAAGGGCAATATCTTTAGAAGAAACTGGAAATGTAAAATGCTGTCACTAAGGCACAGGGCCTACTTTCTAAAAAAGACATCATTCTTATGTTGTTTTAAATATTCTAGGCCACAGAAAAACGTACAAAATGCCCCAGTTTATGTAACTAGTGTAACACCAGCACACCTAATTTTAAAGAATACCAAGAATTAACATTATAGACCAGTTTAATTTGTGAACGTAGATAACAGACTCTGAATAAAATATTATCCATGCATTACTGGAATAAAATATTCTTGGTCAGGGTATATTACACGTCCAATATGCTACTAAATGTCTAAAAACAAGGGAATATATAAATGAATTTAAAAATGTTATTATCATGTAGTCATTAAAAGTTTATTCCTATCACATACCCTTCTAAGAATACGATGAAAAGTACAGATCTTCTTCCCAGGAAAAATGCATGTATTCACAAAATACATAGTTTTATATACTATTCAGGAGTTTCAGAGATCACTCTAAGAAATCTCGGGTGTAGAAGAATAGCATTTATTGGCATGAAATAATATTCATTACTTACTTCATGAAAAAAAGTAATAAAGGTTACAAAAAACCATGCATGATAAGATACACACATACAAATACACAGTAAAAAAAAAAAAAGCAAATGAGCAAATTTTAGGGGTAAACACATAAATATTAACTGAAGTTATCTGCTCATAATGAGATTACTGATGAACTTTCATTTTTTCCACTATATGTGTTTACATGATCAAAAACTTTAAAACTACATAAGTATTTTTAAATGAGAAAAAATATTGTTTAATTAAATTATATAATTCCAGCCAAATCTTGAACATATGTTACTAGTTAAGATTTTTTTAAATAACACCATTTTCCAAAACAACCAACTAAGAAAGCTTTTTTTCTTTCTCAGAAATCTATTTCTAAGGATAAATATTTAAGAAAACAAAATTCTAATGATGTCAAGATCTTACATTTGATCCTTTTAAGTAAAAGCTAGAAGGTATCAATCATGTACAGCCAGTCTCCTTTGTTAGCAGGCATATGCATAAACGCCAGCATTTTATACCACAGAGAAGAGACTGCCACATTTATTTCAATTAAAATTTCTTATTTTTAGGTATCAATTTAAACTATAAAAGCATTCGGTGATCTCTCTATTTTAGACTTTTTTGATTTGTATTACCTTTTAATTTAAAACACATAACTAATGACTGCTTTGAGGGATAAACAGGAGTATTTTAATGAGGCTATCATCACTTTAACATATATTAAATTATCCCTGGTAGAAATAAAAAGTCGCTGTGAACCCACCATGAATAATCTCAACGGTTACTCAATCACCTTGCCATTACTGCTCTGTAGCTTGCCATTCAACACATTAGGTTAATTACATATAAATTGTATTTCTCTGTTACTCTCTTAAATAGAAGAGCTAGTTTTTATAGACAACACACTAATTTATCCTGATAGTTGGAGTGCAGCCGGATTTTCATCACTATGAACAATAAGAAAATTTAATTTAAACCAGACAATTCAGTCATCTTTAGAAATTATGAAAGCACTGCTTCATCTGAGAGCAAAGCAGCGTGCAGTCACTCTACTAGCAAACACGCAGCGGCAAACACAAAGAGGCGTAGGTACACTATAGAATACAATTAATTCTGTGAAAAATACATAGTTGTGGAGGAAGACACCAAGGTCAGAACGTAACTGCAATCTGCTTTTATCTTACTGATGCATTTTCCATCCAAGCTTCTCTAATTTTCACCATTATGTCAAACACAGAAAGAATCGAGGAAAAAAAATAAAACATAATTGTGCCATGATTTCTCATTAACTCTTGGACAAGTGCCAAGGCCTCTGTACTAAAAACAGAAATGAAGAGGGTAATTTTCTTAGCAAGCAACTTAAGTTTCTAAGAATCAGATCTGTTAATACAGACCACAAAAAAAATCCCAACTTCAACTTGTCAATCATGCAGATACCACCAAGAAAAGATTTCTCCTAAGGCCATGCCCAGAGCAAACAAAACGGCGACTAGACCAGGAAAAAGCGTAAGCAAAAAAGCGTATAACAAAGAATAACTTACAAGCCCAAGAGAGTTTCATTTTAACTCTTCCCTTCTTTGCCTGCTGCAGTAGAAGGACCTAACTTTTACCATCGGAAGGCAACTTAACACTGGGCCATCCTGCCTACAACCTGCACATATCCTCAGAGTTTACCTTTCAGTTTACAGGAGAAGCCATGTTAGCTACAAAAAAAAAAGTCTAACCATGCAGTTTCTCTAGATAGTAATAACAACAAAATTCTAAAACTTCATTTACTTTTACAGTACTACTTTTAAGAGCCAAAAATAACAAACTTTTCCACAAATGTTGTAAGTACTTTCCTAATTAATCATTCAGAATACCTTCAAATTCTAACAGCCCTTTATACCGCCTGCCTTTGCAAATTAGTGCAAGGTAAGGCTAAGGGAAGCAAAGGTACTCGCCCAGGGCATGGAGCTGTTGGGAACTGAGGCCGAGAGTCAAGCCCAAATCCCCTGACTTCAGAACCTGAGCGCTGCACTCTACCCACAGAGACAAGCAGTCGGATGAGTTAACACGAGACAAACAGTAAGTGGTACAAGCCCCAGCACGGCAGCACTGAAAATGGCTGGCCCGTGGCAAAGAACATAGTACGTTCTGTGTCAAGAGGGATTCACTGTAGTGTTGACAAGGGAGAAGGAATGAGAGCTGCACTAGAAAGCCGGGAGCAGTGTGAACTGGCACAGCCTCCCCAGAACTCAGAAAACAACATCACAATTTAAAGTACACGGATCTCCACAATCCAGCAATTCCACCTCCCAGGACCTGCCATGGAGAGACTCGTAAAAACATGTGTAGACAGGCACATATAAGGATGTTTACTTTAAAAACATTCATAAGATTAAAAACTACAAAGAGCATAATCTGCATCCACAAGAGAGCTGCTAAATAAAGCTGGTCTGTCCATACAGTGAAATAATATGCAGTCGTAAAGCAAACCACATACACTGTCATGGGAAGCAAACTGCATGACACCAACACGCATGCACAATACTATCCGTGTGTCTCTAAAGCACACATCACAGCACTGTATACAATCAGCTCTGCTATGATGCTTGTTTTAAAAATAACTTGTAACAGCACAACCAATAAATCAAGAAACAACCTGAGCATGATGCACGCTTCCTGTTCGTATGCACAATTCCACCTGAGAGAAATGGGGGATGCAGGCAAGTGAGCCCCACAAGGCCAGGCACACAGACACCCACCCGACCTTACTGTCCTGTTCCAGACAGCCTGCCTCCCTTTCATGGTAACACGTGAGCTGCGGACGCCAACACCTGCTCCCACAGCAAACGTTGGGGCTTTCTCAAGGTACATGCCATATTTATTATAGCATTTATGTATTTCTTAACCCTTTAACGTTTATTAAACTGTGCTCTGACTTTCATTAGGTTCCCATCCTTTTGTTTTGTTAATGTTACTGACAAAGTTTTTGGGTGCAGTTCCCTTACCCTACTTCCCACCAGAAGTCCTATGGTTTCATACACCAGTGATTCTTAAGAACACATACGTTGTGCTATAGCAGAACTGTACCTCAATAGGTACACACACGCATACACCCAAATAACTTCACTCAAACTGTTGTCACCACGGTTAATCGAAGTGAGTATAAGGTAATCACGAAAGCAAGAGGGCAGGCAATACCACACAGCAGAGTGAACCTCACTGGGACTCAGCCGACCAGTCCTTCCCTGGCCCTTAACACACGAGTAAACTTGGATGTGCTTTGACCTTGCTGAGTCTCTCACTACTAAAACTGGGATCACAGTTCTCTACTAACTTAACACAGCTGTGCTGCCCAGTGAGGTAACTCGCCTTCAAGGCACCATAAACTATGCACATCATCAAATGAAGAGCAGGCACATTCTTAGTGAGAGAAAACGGTGATCGAGCAAGAGAAAACGAAAAAGAGTAACTGAATGCTCCTGGCTCCTAAATCCAAGTCTCAGAACCAAATGTTGTTCCTTACTTCATGGTAAGTGTCCTCAAGCTCCCCATCATATATCCAGCGGTACAGGAAGCTCAGGACAGGATGGGACACGAGGCTGAGAATGTGCTGCACCAGGGACCTCATGTAGGGGTCTCCCGTCTTCGTGTAGGCGTGGACGGCTGAGGCCAGCTCACCTCCTTTCCTTCCTGGGAGAGTAGGAGAAAACACACAGAAACACCCAATTTACACTCACGGTATAAAGCAATCACGTAACACTAAGCAAAGATGACCAAGTAACGCAGACAAGGAGTGACTTTCTTTCAGTTAATGCCACCATGGGGCTTGGAAGCAGCAGCAACACGTGGCACATCAGGAGCCAAGAGACAAAGGGTCTACCCTTGACTTTATGGACCCAAGAGCCACTTGTCTTCCTGACTGTTAGGGAGTTTTTCAGTAGCGAAAAGCAGCAAAAACCAACTGGCTATACCACCTAGCATTCACATGACTTTTCACACCTTTTAGACTAAGACACATAGATGCACACTTCATACCACAATTTAATACATGCATAACTATATGTGAAAAACAAAAGTCCTATGAATCAACACTTATGCTTTTTTTGGTATAATACACTAGTATTAACTAACTGATTTCATAACCCATTAACTGGCTGTGACGTAGTTTGAAAACCACTGCTCTGCGTGGAGAGAACAAGTGTGCTGTGTCTGGGTAAAGGAAAGAGCTCAGTATGAAGGACTGGGGGTGGAAAAACCTAAGCACTTGAAGAATTTCTTATGTTATGCTAAGAATTCCGGATTTCATTAGATTGCTGAGGCCCGTGGGAACAGGACTGACAGGTCTCACTCTATGAGTACCCGGCACATGTGCACAGAGTGAGGCTCATGAGACTGAGAGCAGAGGACCAGTCAGCAGTTCTCATGACAGCACCTGCAGCGAAGACACAGAGCGCATGGACCAGACAGTGCAAGAGAGGGCGGGGTGTCAGTGGGTAACGGGACATTGAGGGAATCTGGCAGAAATCCAACTACAGAGGAGCACTGGTAACTGGAGAAGTGGCAGCTGTTTGTTTGCTGTGTTCAACTTCTTTCTTTTTTAAAGGAAAGTGCCAGGAGGCAAGAGAAGCGAGGCACAAGGGCATGACGATGACCTTGGGCTTAGACTTGCCAAATTCAGATCCCGTGCACTGATCAGTGGGGAGGATGGCAGCAGCACGGAGCTCCTGCTATGGGGCAGATGGCTGGCTTTTCACAGCTCGTATGATCCTAAGAGCATCCCAACATTACAAATGAGAACAGAGAGACAGAGGTTCTTGCCCATGGTAATACAGTGAGAAAAATGTTCAGAAGACAACTAGAAATACAAAACCCAGAGCCCAGGAGAGGCCTAAGCTAGACATGCAAATATGGGAACTTCTCACAGAGATGGTGAACCCGGACAGGGACCCAACCTCAGAAAGAAAGAAACCAAACAGTGACCCACTCGGAAAGGCAGGAGGAGCATGGGAACAGAGCAGTCACACCGAGGGCCACAACTGAGAGAAAGCTGTAACAGGTGCCTTCCTCCTCTCCGCCTTCATTTCAATGGCATCCTGAGCTTCTACACGTACAAATGCTGGACTACGCTGGCAACTGGTTATTTTCCCTCTAAGTTCCTATCTATTAATTTGTATTCAATCAACATATTTAGGGCTATCTACAAAGGACAGGATACAAAAGCAAATCTTGATGATTCTCCCCACAGGCAAGCTTTGAGATAAAGCAAGTCTGGGAGGCACATGCACAAAAACACAAAATGACCTTGACAGTGATCGACCAGGGCCGCCAGAGTCTTCAGTCTTATTTTGGGATCGTACGTCCAAACAAGGAGGCGCCTCAGTGTTAAGCTACTCTCAAGTCCCAAATTCACACCTGGATCGTCCTCTAGCTGTAGCTGCAAACAACAAATGTAGAACGTTTAAGTACAAATCACTAAATATGTCACACTAGCTCTTAATCCATACAAAGTGAACATAAGTGATTATTCTCATAAAAATGAAGCAAAATGTCCCCTTTGAGAAAACAACAGCACCTTCAAGCCAGAAGTGGTCTTTAAATGGTGACAGGACCCTGAAATTAGCAACTCATTGGCTCTAGGATACCCTGAAAATTTATAGATATTGGGACCTTATAAGTAGTATTATAAAACAGACTTTATCTTTTAAAAGTAATGTATGAAGTAACTTAAAATATTCTCAATAATTGTCCCTCTGTATCCATGGGGGATTGGTTCCAGGACTTCCCACAGATACCAAAATCCTCAGATGCTCAAGTCCCTGATATAAAACAGCATAGTATCTGCATGTAACCTATGCACATCCTCCCCTACACTTTACATCATCTCTAGATTACTTCAAGACCTGATACAATGTAAATTCCATGTAAGTTGTTATGCTGTACCATTTAAAGAATAATGAAAAGTCTATACACATTCAGTACAGATCCAACCATCCTTTTTTTTAAAAAAATTCATGGTTGCTTGAATCCAAGAAGAAGGAACCTATGGATACAGAGAGCCAACTGTTGAGTTTCAATTTTCTAACACTTCGAATCATTAAGAAATTAAAATAAAAACAATGTATTTACCTGGGAGTGTAAAACAGAGAGTAATCGGTAGTACTCTTTGAGTTCTTGGTGCAAGGCAGCACAAAAGCTCTGTTATAGAAAGGGAAAGTACAATTAAAGCACGAGGCATTCATACGCTCTGACTCATTTTGAATGCAAAAGCACGATGCTTTTAGACGAAGTTCAGGTGGAGTTCAGCACGATTTAAATTCTGGTTCTGTCGATGGTCTTCCTGTAGTTCTCACCACAATACTGTACATATTTTAATAACACTAGAGAAGCATTGTTCCTTAGTACAAAAGCCATAAACTTTGCAGGAGAGAAATGAAGAAAATGCAGTATGGTTTTTGTGTGTGTGTGTGTGTGTGTGTGTGTGACCGGTAAGGGGATCGTAACCCTTGGCTTGGTGTTGTCTGTACCGCGCTCAGCCAGTGAGCGCACCGGCCATCCCTATATAAGATCCGAACCTGTGGCCGCGGCGCTCCCAGCGCCGCACTCTCCCGAGTGAGCCATGGGTTCGGCCCAGTATGGTTTTAATGAAGCTGAAAGTGCAGTCACTTTAGAGAATGACCCTTTATTTTAAGACTGTGTCCATCCTAAATTTTTAGAGTTAAAATGTAATTTTCTTTAATGTTCTTAATTGACAAAATTTGAAAACTGGCAACTCAATGCCAACCCCATTTTTTGTTTTGGTTTGAACTGCCCATTTTTTCCCATTAAAAACTTCTTTGCTGGGCCGGCCCAGTGGCGCACTCGGTAGAGTGCGGCGCTTAGGAGTGCGGTGGCGCTCCCGCCGAGGGTTCGGATCCCATATAGAGACCGGTCCGCTCACTGGTTGAGCGCGGTGCAGGCGCAACACCAAGGGTTGCAATCCCGTTGCCGGTCCCGGTACGGGCACGACACCGAGGGTTGCGATCCCCGTCACCGGTCACGAAAAAAGACAAAAAGGAAAAAAAAAAAAAAAAAAACTTCTTTGTACATCTCCACTCTTAAATACTGAAAAGGGGACAAATCAAAATGACAGCATAAGAAGCAACAAGAGGTGCCGAGAGGGACCCACACAGAGTCCTGTGACAAAGACCTTCAGGTATGAACTCTGGGAGGTACGTCCAGGACACTCAAGGGACGCTTCACTTTCCATGGGAGCCTGTGACAGATTCAGCCTGCAAAGGATAAAGCCTGTTCTCTCTAAATAAAGATGCAGGCTCCACATTTTTCTGCATATTTCAAAACAATATACAATCATCATCTATAGGTTTTACTGTATTTATGTTTACTCGATTGGGTCTAATATGAACATTTTCGTCCTTTTAGCTATAAAAATGAACATAAAACATATTAATTTTGTAAACACAAAGGAACTCTTCAAAAAGTGAAATTTGCAAGATGGAATGTCCTAGGAATTTTCATCCTTTTAGCTATAAAAATGAACATAAAACATACTAATTTTGTAAACACAAAGGAACTCTTCAAAAAGTGAAATTTGCAAGATGGAATGTCCTAGGTTTCGGAATCAGACAGACCTTATGATAAAATCCTGGGCTCCTACTAGAGGTCCCGCCACGGGCCAACTCCCACTGTCCCTGAGCCTCGCTGACTCATTTATATAAGGAGGAATGAATGTGATAACATGAGGAAAGCACCCAGCACAGGGTGGGCGCGGAAGTGCTTATTACACTTTAGATCAGTTCTCTAAAGTAATATTCACACAGAAAACAATGTGGAGCCTGTTCAGGCACAGCATCACCTTTCACAAAAATGACATCTCAGCCCCAGAACAGGCAGGCAGATACACACACACAAACACATATAAGTTAAAAAAAAAACAAAACTGATCACTAGAAATAAAAATCAAATCATCATCTATCCATATAGAATATAAACATACACATGGGTATGCAAGTCAGCTTATAAGTAGCCTACAACCAAAATAATGGAATTACAATAAGAGTATTTCAGCACTGTATGTATTCAATATGAAAGACGACAGAACCTAGAGCCCAGGAGAGGCCGAAGCTAAACGTGCAAACACGGGAACTTCTAACAGAGATGGCAAACCCAGACATGGACCCTAAGACAAAAGGTCTGCAGTTAGCTGCGGCTGTTTCCACCTCAGCTTATTAAAAGCATGCATAAGTTTCACACTTAGGAGACTACATCTTCGTTATCAACAAGATTTTGTTCCATTTGGCATGTCTGAAGCCAGGACACATCTGAGATTAAAGGGGACACTAGCAATAACCACACCAGGAGAGCAGGCATAAATCAGCACTTCCCACCCACCCCTGCTATCTGGGATATAGGATCACCCAACAACAGCACTCAATGATTCTTCTAAAGAGCTAAAACATCACTTATCAGAACGGCACACAGCAATGGCTTAAAAGTGGAAAATGGCAGTAGGATGAGAGAGCTTCAGAACAGAATCTACACATTATATTCGGGTCCCATATCTGCCATCAACTAGTCAGGGCAACTTGGGCAAACCAATCAAACTTTCTGAGGGTTCAATTGTTGCATCTACAAAATGGGGACAATTAATACTTGCCCTGCTAATGTTAGAGGGCTGTTATGAGAATCAATAAGATGAGAAAAGAGGCTTTAAAATCCAGAATTATAAAACTCTACATGATACCACTATAGTATTTATTGATCAATCTGCTGAAATAAAATACCTATATAATAGTTCCATTTCATATTCTTATAATCATTTTGTGTTTGTTTTGCTTCATATCTAGTAAGTCGACTAGGATGTATCAGTGGAATTTGCAATGTATAAGAGGATATTATGTCCCTTTTGGAAAGAGGGCAAGGACTCACACAAATCGCAGCTTGCTGCTGAGAGCCAGGTGGCCTCACCTGCCTTACAAACTCTGCTCCATGTCAACGGCAGGTGGAGCCCAAGCCCACTCCTTACTGTCTGCCGAATTCCCCACCCATTCTCTCTTCATCTTCAGCTTTGGAGGTAATCATTACCTCCATTCTACATACAAAGAATCCATGGTCAACAGAAGGTAATCTGTACAAGACAACTAGTAAAGAGAGCAGCCAAAACCCAAACCCTGGGCTGCCTCACTTCAAAGCCATGCTCCCAATTACCAACCACGCTGCCATGCCACACACCCACTGGCCGGCCACAGCCACACTGCAATGATATAACTAGTAAAGAGAGCAGCCAAAACCCAAACCCTGGGCTGCCTCACTTCAAATTACCAACCACGCTGCCATGCCACACACCCACTGGCCGGCCACAGCCACACTGCAATGATGCACTCCCACTTGACAGCATGTCATCATGCCATGCTGTGCCATGCTTTGCTTATGGTACACAGTTGTTTTGTGATCCTCTCTCTCAACAAATTTTTGGAGATTTAATTGGCAAGGATCACAGCCCAAGAATCAACTTGTGAACAAAACCATGTGCTACTTAACCTTGAAAAAGGGTTAGGTCTCCGGAAAGGCCACTTTCCTTTGTCACCACTTCCTGTCAGGTCCCAGGAGGTGGGAGGAGGAGGAGGGCCAGCTCCCTCTGATGACTTGCTATTTCAATGGCAGTGCCCCAGCCGTGGCAGTTCAGGCAGCAATGGCGGCAGCAGGTGCCCATCTCCAGCTTCTACAGATTTCCCAAATCCCACACCACTGTACTGCTGGGGCACGTGCGGCAGCAGGGCCCTCTTCCACCTTCCAGAGGGAGCCTCAGCAGCTGGGCAGCCACTCCAAACATTTGGATTCTGATGATCCCAACCTCTTCTCTTGGCTCCCCAGTGACTACCTCTGTTTCAACCAGTTTCTTCTGCTTTTACAGTTCTCCCACAGCTACTTAATCAACCTGCTGCACCCAGCTGCCTTCATCCACACCTACAGTGGTTCTGTTTCCTTGAGTGGACCCTGACTGATACAGTCAACTACCAAAGCTGCTTCATTTAAAAAGAACCTTCTCAAGAGGTATATTCATAGAAAGATGTAAGTACAATAAGCATTTCCCCAAGTAAACGGCATCCCAAATGTTCTAAACATAATAAACATACCTGACCTACAAGTCCAAATGAGCGGTCCAGACTCTTCTGGTCAGTGTATTTCCTGATTTTATTATGTAACCATCCCAATTCAGCAAGTCTGGCTGTTGTATCCCTCAAAGATTTACTTAGGTTTGCCTAAAAAATAAGTATATCAACAGTTAAAAATTAAAATCCACTACCAGAATTTTAATTATTATTTTTCTCAACCACCTGTAGTTTAATATTATAACTCTTGGGCTTCAGCACATAAAAGTTAAAAGTAACTAATATACCATCTTTAAAGAGAAAGAAAACGTATCTGGTGACAGCAGGGATGTAAAACACCTTGGAGGGGAGGCTGAGCTCTGTCACGTTGGCCTGTGGAGTGACTGCCTGGGGCCTGTAACTGACCCGCAGTGTGGCAGTCTATGGCCTTTAGCCACTCTGTGAACAGGCTGAGGGCCACAGGGCAACATTACACCACCACAAGGGGCAGTGGGAAAGGGAGGTTCTGGAAGAAAAAAAACAAATCAAGGAAAGACCCCTCATCTGGATCCTGTATCAATGGCAAAGAGGCCAGGCCAGTCCACTGTCCCTCAGGTACCTCTGACATCACTGTAGCAGGATTCAGAAATCAGCTAAATGGGGTAGCCACATCAACCAATGCAAGGAAAGGAGGCATGTACATATCACGAAGAGCCCCCATAACAAAACTTCATGAGCCACCAACTCAACAGGAAACCACAAAGCAGAATTGAATAGTTCAACTTGATTAGAACACACAACTTTGTAAAACCCCAATACTGCCTTACATATTAACAGCTCACTACCTGGACTCGACTACCTTTTTCTTCTATTTGAATATTTTAAACTACATTTTATGTTACTGTACCTTTCCTTCCACTTTATAACAATTTTCGGTGTTGCTCATTTTGATGTTTCTGCCATCTATGCCCTGGAAGACGTACAAAATGTCCCTTACAAGAGCTGCTTCTGTAACTTCCACAGTACCTGTAAAATGAGTTTTAAAAGAGAGTAATTACTAAGTAACACATTTTTAAGATGTAATAAATTTTACGACACCATTAGCTTTAGATTATATATTTGCCAACAGGACAAAATTTACAACTCAACAAACAAGCTTAAAGGTGAAAAACAGAGTACAGGTTACAAAGAAACAAGGACTTTCTGAAAAGAATATGAGATCATACAATCTCTTATCCAACAGTCTTCTTAAAAGATAAGGCTGTATGTGGGAACTTTATATAGAATTCAGGTAGCAGCATAATCAATCACAAAGGGCTGGATTATTTAATAGTGGTGTTTGGAAAAACTGGTTTACTACACAAGTATACTAACCTAGGTTGCTCCCTACCACCACATAATAAGGACTTAATAGTCAAGAAACGGTGCTCATGGTTTCCGTAATTCCTTTGGACAAAAGCTAAGTCAGAATTTAGGCCAAAATAAGGAACAGGAGGCAATGCCCAGAAATCCAAGATGTGAGTGGGGCAGAGAGAAAGCTGGAGCAGACAGCTGGGGATGAGCATTTGCAGAACTGACCCACGCCAGCATGTGCAGGAGCAGAGGACAGCTGTATATGTCAGTGCCAGGCAGAATGTTCTATAAATGTCAGTGAGATGAAGTTCTCAACAGTACTGTTTGAACCTTACATATCATTATTGACTGTTTTTGTCTACTTATTCTATCAACAACTTAGGGAGGGAAGCTGAAATATCCAACTACGAGGGTACTTCAAAAAGTTCATGGAAAGATTAATTCTATTTTTCCACAAATGCTTTGAGGTACTCCCATACAATCATGGGTTTGTTTGTTTTTCCTTCCAGCTCTGTCAGTTTTACTCTCTGCATTTTGAAGCTCTCTGCTGGTAGGTTAATATAGGTTTGGGATTATCATGTCTTCCAAAAGAACTGACCCTTCATTGCTATGACTCATCCCTCCACCCCTGGCACCACTGCAGTCTGCTTTGATATTAACGCAGCCACAGCATCTTCATGGCTAGGGTTTATAAGGCGTATGTTTTTCCACCCATTTACTTTCAACCTATCTGTGTCCTTATATTTAAAACGTATCTCTTGTGGGCTGACCCTGTGGCTCACTCGGGAGAATGCGGTGCTGGGAGCGCAGCGGCGCTCCCGCCACAGGTTCGGATCCTATATAGTGATGGCCAGTGCACTCACTGGCTGAGTGCAGTGCAGAGGACACCAAGCCAAGGGTTGTGATCCCCTTACCGGTCACAAAATGAATGAATGAATGAATGAATGAATGAACAAATGAATGAATGAATGAATGAAAATAAATAAATAAATAAAAATTTAAAAACTAACTAAATAAATAATAAATAAAATAAAAATAATATAAAATAAAATGTATCTCTTGTAAGCAACCCATGATTGTCTGAATGGAATTTCTTTTTTAAAAAACTGTCTTTTAAACTGTTGTTTATACATCTAATGTAAATACTAACACATCTGGGTTTAAAGTTACAGACTGCCGCATATTTTCTACTTATCCCACTGTTTTCTTCCTTTGTACTTCCTCTCCTGATTCTTTTGGATTAATCAAGTATATTTTTGAAGTCCATTTTATCTCTTAGCTTTGTAAAGAATACACTGTTTTGAAAGCACTGGTTAGGGATAAGGAGTCACAGCACATAAAAAAAGTAAGCAGAGAACAATGCTCTGACCCAGTCTAGAGTTGGCTTGCAAAGATGTCACCACAACAGTCTGGCTGTTGTGGACAGAGAGGCAGGTACGTGCAAGCTACACACAGCGACAGACAGTGTTGTGCAGATGCTGGAGATTGCTGCAGAGGGTTAAGGGCTCCAGGATGTCCTCACAGTTCCAAAAGATACTCCTCATCTTTGCATTCTACACAAGCACTAGTAACATCTAGAGCAATTTCAAAGTCAATAGATTATGAACCTACAGTAAAACCAATTCTTCTATTTTCAGGACCCTGGTGTTTCAAGCATTGCCATTTGTTGTGTTCTCAAGAAAGAAATGCAAATTTCCTTTTGGAATCCGGCAGGCCTTTAAAATTTTCCACAAGGTAATCATGACCCTGGTGTTTCAAGCATTGCCATTTGTTATGTTCTCAAGAAAAGAAATGCAAATTTCCTTTTGGAATCCGGCAGGCCTTTAAAATTTTCCACAAGGTAATCATTTCACTATCTAGCAAATATTCAATAAGTTTCTTCAGTGTTACAGGTGCCCTGCTAAGTGCTGGAACCTTGAACATGACAGACGCAGCCCCTCCACAGAAGTCAGGCTGTGGTGGAAGGTGACTTTTACTAGGGGACTTGACCCAGCCTTAGAGGCTTTCCCAGGAAGGCAGACAGAATAAAGCCAGAGAAAGGGAACGGGACAAGGGAGAGCAGAGCAGAGAGGTACAGAGCAAGGAGACAACAGGGACAGAGAGCCAAAGAGCAGATGGCACCGGGAACTAAAGATCAGTGTGACACGAGGTGAAAAGACAGACCCCATAAGGAGTTGCAGACCACATCGGGAATTTTGGACTTAATCATGAAAACAATAAGAAGTCACAAAGAGGTTTTAAGTGGGGATCGTTGATCAGTATTTTAAAATAAGGGAAGGATGAATTCTAATAGCTCAAAGAAAAGCTATGTTAAAATAGATCCTCACTCACCACCTGTGTCCCCTTCTCTCCTTGACCTTGTCGCATTGCGAGAAAAGGTGTTTGGGATACCCTTTGAGGTAGTGGTTTGTGAAGAAGGCTGATTTGCAGTGAGAGTCCATGCAAGACGTGGCCCCAACTGCTGTCGAAGGCAGTCTCCTACTCCTGGAGCTTGATGAGACTGTCTAAAAGAAGAAAGCAACGTTTATTATCTTCAAATAACCCAGCTATTCCCAGAAATGTTTCTTATGTTAGCATACTGAATTACGTGAATTTATAAATCTGAGACAGGTGACACCATGACTTTACCATAACCAAATATATCAACAGCAATCAGTCTCAAGTCCCTTGGAACTGTCCAAGGCTCCTCGGGATCCTCAGCCCAGCATCTGCACTTAACACAGCAGAACTGCCAACCGCTGCACTGCTTCCTCCCCTACACGTCAAAACCTACTTGACCTTTCTTTACACACATGACCCGCCAATAACCACTCTGATGCTCTCTGCTGATTTTAACTTCTAACTGCACACCTCTCCCTCGCCAGCTTGACCGAGCGGGGACGGTATTTGCAGCACCGACCCCCTTGCCTGTCCTCACTCACCTCCCACCCCGAAGATGCTCTGACAGTGCTCACTGTGAAAAAGAATACTGTAACTTTCAATTAACTTCAAAAACATACAAACGCATAAAACCCTAGGCAAATGCACATTCGAAGTCAAGACAGTTCTCTGGTAATTTTGAGAACATGTTAGAGCTGCCTTTTGAAAATCTAATAATCGGATAGCTGATTTCTAATAATACGTGCTTTGCCAACTGAAACAAAAATATCACCTCCTGGGACTGCAAAACACAAAAACAAGAACCTCAACTACACTGTTAATTTCAGGTGCCAGAGCTCTGATTTAGTACTGGTGCAATATTGCTGGATCCACCTACAATGCACCCATAAAGTAAAAGAAGAGAGAAAAACTGCTGGAAAGTCCCTATTTTATTCTATTTTCAATGGGAAGAAAGTCAATAACAACATTTACTAAAACTGTATCTTTGAGCATAATTCTAAATTTAAGAGAATGATTCTAAGAGACCATTTCCCTTCAAAGTTCCCTATACAGCTTTTTAGTATCATGACAATAATTATTACAAATTCTCAAATTCTAAAGAAAAAATGAGAATGTCAGTTTACTCTTTTAGCCAGAATATGAGTTTTAGATTAAAGTTGTCAAGCACTGTTTTTAAATGCTTTACATTTCTTTTTACAGAACACTAAACCCCACTGATAATCCATGTGTATGGTACACACATTCTATTTTCTAATACCTTGAACATAATTTTCTAACTCCCAGAATGATTTATAACTCTATTATGCTCATGTGGAAATCATTTATTTGATGCCAAATCCTTGGTCACTGTTGTTCTGGAAAAATATCCACTTCATGATAATCTGCTTTAATGCAATTCCCAGGTATCAACTACAGCAAAAAGCAAAACCACCCGCTTATCTAAACAGAGAAATGTGTATTTAACCAAAAAATCCAGAGCTCTAAAATCCCATTAATGACACTGGCACCTACTTTATTCTCAACCATAAATTCCATATTCCCTTAAAACACAATTACATTTGACAGCATGTTACACTACAAAGGAAGTAACATCTTCACTGTGCATTCCCACATTTCATCATCTTAATTCACATGAACTAAGATGTCATAATCCTTAGTTTGAAGATCTCGGCACTTGAAGATTCTCAACCTTATTTTCTTTTTCTTATTAATTTTTTTAAAGGATCCGATGAGAAAAACATACATCAATGAAGTGGCCAATACTGACTGAAAGATAAAATCTAAGAATACAGTCAGCCCTCTGTATCCATGGGTTCAACCAAATGTGGATTAAAAATGTTCAACACAAATAAATAAAATTTAAAACATCAATAAAAAATAATTAAAATAAAATACAGTATTACAACTATTTACACAGCATTTACACTGTATCAAGTATTACAAGTAATCCAGAGATGATTTAAAGTTTAGGGAGGATGTGCACAGGTTAGACGTAGACACCACTGTACATCAGGGGCTTGGGCAACCCTGGATTTTGGCATCCATAGGGGGACCTGGAACCAATCCCCTTGGATACGGTCAGAGAAACGCAGATGGGTTACCTCCAGACAAAAGGCTCTATGCATCCTGCTTTCAACTGGGCCCTTTGCTCATGTGCATCTCCCATGACAGGTGAAGAGCTGGCCAAAACTCTTTAGAGCCACCTCTGACTACACAGTGGAAAGAATCCTAGTGTCACGCAGGCATGAGGAGGAGTAACCCCTGAGATATAGCATGTCGGACACAGTGCCCGGCACATACGAGGCACTGACGATACTGTCAGTGAACACCGAATGCCTGGTTAAAAGCCCCAGGATGCTTCTGTTGCTACTGTGCAAGAATCTGTGCGTGCCAGCGTGGTGTTACCCCGGAAGGAGAGTCTGTGGCGCTGGGGCTGGGCCGTTGAGGGCATACACGCTTATGCTGCTGATGCCACTGCTGCCCAGACTGCCAGAGGCCTGCACCGACTGGGTGCTTCGATCCTGGTAGTTCAACGGGAGAGTCTGAGGCCTGGCGTAGTAGTAGGGAGTGGAATGGGCATCTCTTGGCAATGCCTGAGCAAATAATGTAGCATAACTAGAAACCTGGAAACAAATAAAAATGGATAAGGAATACAGAGACGTGAAACTACACAAGTCTCACCAAATCTACAGATTATATACATTCAGATTTTCCTTCTATTGCTGTAATTAGATTTGAATTTCATGCTTATTAAACAATAAATTAGTTTGGCATTATTACAAAATAAGAGAAGCTCATTGCTCAGACTAAGGCCTTAGAGATAAACATAACTCTTTGATTCACATTCTTCGACTTATCGTCACTCAAACATCTGCAGTGAAATACTCTATTAGACTAGACTCTTTGTGAAACAGAGCAGCCAAATCGCTCTTTCAAACACTGTACAGGACAAAAACTTAAACTGAGGGACAACACAAAGTCTCACTGGCATTACAGTAATGCATTTTCATAATCATAATTTAAAGCACGAGAAACTCTTAAAGACCTTCTAGTTCATAAAGAATTACCCATCTGTGCTGACATTAATAACTTTTCAAAGTAAACATTTTGGAAACTGACAATTTATCTCTACTTAATCACACATCGTCCATAATTTAAAGCACGAGAAACTCTTAAAGACCTTCTAGTTCATAAAGAATTACCCATCTGTGCTGACATTAGTAACTTTTCAAAGTAAACATTTTGGAAACTGACAATTTATCTCTACTTAATCACACATCGTCAAATCTGAATAATACAACAATGACAAACATCTTAGGGAAACTGCATACCAACTAAAATTACCCTTCAAAAAAGAAAAAAAAATCTCTTGACCTTCCAAGACTAGACAAGCATTTTCTCTTCTCATATGATTATCTTAGCTGCAGAAACCGATTCCTATCAAAACTTGCTACAACTGTCCCAACAAAGGACACTAAGCTGCTCACCAGAGCTGCTCACCTTGCTTGGCTGCTTGCGTGGGTCTTCACTAAGGCTCAGCAAGAGGTAGAGTATTGACCATTTATTTTTCAAAACTCCCTGTTTAGAAAGAAAGTTCATATTAAAAGAAGATTATTTTATGCTAATCTCCAGTTTTATTTTCCTCTCCTCTCAATTATACTTATTTCCAAAATAGAAATGCATTTTAAAATTCACACGTTAACTGTGTTTGTTTCAGGCACTGTAAACAGCACCATCCATCAGAAAGCTGGAAATAATGTTCTTAAGTGATCATTACCCTTAGGTCCTTCAGCCTCTGTAGACTAACTCCAAAGTCCCTAATAAAAACAAGTTTTTTTAACTGCCCTATTCCTTAATAACAGTATTGTGCCTCTGAAATAATTCTTATAACTTCCCAAACACAGTGATTATAAGACAAATGTCATCATAAAATATGGAAAAGTTGTTTTTCCTTTATCAATGTCTTATTTAGGTCACAAAACAGAGTATTTTAAAACTAAGAATTTTAAAGTGCAAGAGTTAGTCTTGACATCATGTATACCTAAACTCAAGATGTGGTTCTGAAGCACTTAGTTGTCAGGATGACCAACCCCTAGGTTTCTGTGTAAGGGTTGTGATGCAGATTTCATTAAATTCCAATTGTTTATCCCAATAGCCTGGTTCAAAAGCACAGCAGCAGACAGACCCCAGTGTGTTTTAATACCAGATCTACACAGCACTCTATCCACGCAGCCTTACCACCGGTGCACAGGCTGGTGCACGTAAATACCTTTATTTACAAAGCAAATTATGAGATGGCTGTTTACATTTTGCAAATTTTTCATTATACAAAACATTCCCTGAAACTTTCTTTAAAGAGGAAGCTCATCCCAGGTATTTAAATTATTGTCTAAGTTTAAAAATTGATTTACAGACTTTTTCAGAAACTCATTAATTCCCCAGCTGGGCAACAATGACAAGGAGGCCCAGGCCCGATGTGGTCTCAGACCCATGAACGGCAGACGCGGCAGGACAAGCGGGACAAGCGGGACAAGAGGGACAAGCAGGACAAGTGGGACAAGCAGGACAAGTGGGACAAGCAGGACAAGTGGGACAAGCGGGACAAGTGGGACAAGCGGGACAAGCGACACTGCACAGCTGATGGCAGGACTCCTAGTGGGGCTCAAGTCTCAGCAGGATGGGCCGTGCAAAGGCCAGGAAGGGAGCTGTGCACAGACCAATCTGACTGAAGCAAGGAGTCAGAACAGAAGCTAAAAACAGAAGAAAGGGAGCTCGACGCTGTACCAAGAAACTTGGGACTTTAAACTGAAAACAGCAGGAAGCCTTTGAAGGATTTCCTGTGGGCAGTGACAACATCACTCCAGTAACAATGGACAAAACAAGACACAAGAGAGCACCCAAGGCAACTGCAGTCATTTGAAG